TCATGTATCATCATCATGTATCATCATCATGTATGATCATCATGTATCATCATCATGTATCATCCTCATTTTCATTGATCATCATTGTCATGAATCATAATCATCATTACAGCCTTAGGATATTAAATATAATCTTTTTTTTCCACCTAGAGTGTCCAAAGTGCATCGGTTGGGAGAAAAACAAGAATCAAAAAGCCGTTCCTCGTTATGTTGACCTGAGTGCCACAATGGATCCTGAAAAGTTAGTATCAAAAAATGTCTTCAAATCGCTGTTCATATAGATAAGATAAGAGTCCAACGTATTAATATTTTGTCTGATGTAATTCCAGGTTATCTGAGTCGTCTGTAGATCTTAATCTCAGGTTAATGCGCTGGAGACTTCTACCATCCTTAGACCTGGAGATCGTGTCTAAGGCACGGTGTCTTTTACTTGGTGCTGGGACCCTAGGGTGTAACGTGGCGCGCTGTCTGTTGGTAAGAAAAATATATGTTTATTGAATAATCGATACGGCTCTTTTCTAGTTTTCTTCTCCCTTTTATCTCCGATTCCAACAGCCTTCTTTCTTTTTTCCTTCTTTCTTTCTTTCTTTTTTCGACGCGGAGCCTCTTACGAGGCGCTGAAGGGGTTCAATGGATGTCATCGTTGTATTTTGTGCATTCTTGTATTTTGTCTCGTCAAAAAAGGCAGCAGTGTCGAGTGGTCGTCGGTCTCGCAATCCCCGGTGGTGCTGAGTTCGATTAATTGTCCTGATCTCTGATTAGTTCAAATTCAGTTTCTCGACCATGCTTGTTAATAGCCAACTGGTTTGCCTCCTTGCCAGTTGGGATTCTTAAAACACTTTATGTTTCTTTGATTATTTATAATATTTTTCTACTTTATTGATCCCTCCTACAGGGATGGGGTGTACGGACCATCACCTTTGTTGACAACGCCCGCATCTCCTACTCCAATCCCGTACGGCAGAGCTTGTTCGAGTTTGAGGATTGTAAAGGAGGCGGCCAGCCTAAAGCAGAGGTGGCTGCGAATGCGCTAAAGAGGATCTTTCCTGGAGTTGTAAGTAATCTAAGATTTGTAAATTTATTTGTTTTACGTCGATTGGCGGGAGTGATTGCTCAGTCTCACAAGACAGATGCTCAGTCAGCTTTCGATGCCAGAATGAATTGTAATTTAGAAGTTGATTTTTGAAACTCGAGCAATCACTTCCTGCACTTCGACGTGAAAAAAGTGTTTAAGATTCTCGTTTACGGCAAACGTGAAACGTCAGTTGACCATTAAAAAATTCTTTAAAATTAGTGAAAAGGAATCGCAAAAATTTCCAAGTAGTAGATAAACAAAAGAATACTTGTCTTTGCCGAGAAGGTTTGCAAAAGAGAAATGTAGGGAAACGATGAAAACGTGGTCACGTTTGCCGTTTGCGAGAAGGAAAAACTGGAATCCTAATCTGCCTATTCCTACAACTGCAATGGTTTTCTGTCAACAGCATTCATCCAACGAGATGTTTTCAATACCGATGCCTGGTCACGCTGTGGGAAGCTCACCGGGTAAGCCATTCAGTTAATCGTCTCACCTCGGGGGTCTTAGGTTCATTTCCTGGTCTCAGCATCACATGTGAGTACCCTGACTCACCAGTCTAGAGGTTGTTTCAGGGTTCGTTGAACGAATTTTCCATCGTATTCGTGTAGCATTGTGTGTGGATGCCCTTAAAAACGTCGCTAAGACGACCTGTGTGTGTTGATGGCTAGATGGTGGTTGGAGGTTGGGTGTTAAATATATCTTAATAACCAGCCACGCCCCAATTCTATTGTTTTATGTAGGTTTTGAAACCCAGAGTAAGACCTACATTCTTAAAGCCGGGGGCGGCTTTGATTATCAGCAGGGGAGAGCGGGGCTGAATTCAAAACCCGGGCCAGGTTTTGAATTTGAAATTCAAGACCTGTCCCATTAAAACAATAGAATTGGGGCATGGCTGGTTATTAAACCAGTTCAAAACTACGGGCTCGGACTTTCATTGAATTTCAATGAAAGCCCTCGCCCTATGTTTTGAACCTTTATTTAAAACGCTAGGGCGAGGGTTTGCATTGAAATTCAAGACCGAGGGCCGAATGCAAATCCGAGCACGTGCGTTCTAACTGGTTTAAAAAACAACCAAGCCCTATTTTTAATGTTTGATGGAGGGTTTGAATTTCGATGGAAAACCTGTCCCGGGTTTTGAATCCAGCCCTGCTCTCCCCTGTGAGCATCAATGCTGAATTCAAAACCCGGGACAGGTTTTCCATCGAAATTCAAACCCTCCATCAAACAATAGAAATAGGGCGTGGTTGGTTTTTAAGAGAAGAGGAACATTTATTTATTAGTTTCGCCTGGAAATATAATAACTGGAAAAAAATACTGTGATATATATGACATGGAGTGCCCCACAGCGCGATGTACCGTTAAAACTAACTCCTTTTTTCATCACATATCAGAGGCAATACAGGCCGTCCAAAAAGATGTCCAGCGATTAGAGGAATTAATCGATGCGCACGACGTTGTATTTCTATTAATGGATACACGAGAGAGTCGATGGCTGCCTACTGTTATTGCTGCTGCAAAGAAAAAGGTAACAGAAGACTACTATGGGGGGTGGGGTAGTGGTATTTGTTTCTTCTCAGGATCTAAAATATGAGGGATTGCGGCACAAGAGTGAAAGTTTGCGGGACTCAAAGGAAAAATGCGGTTAAAGAATGCGAATTTGTGTGGGATTTCGAGTTTTCCCTGTCGGCATACTAAAACACCCCAAGTACAGTCGCCTCTCGTTATTGCAAACACCCTCATGACCTTAACTTGGTGTCCGTAATAGCGAGCGTCCACTACTCACACTGCATACATAATTAGCGTGTCACGTAGGAATTTAGCAACCCCCCATTTATGGACATTGGAGTTTGCGCAGTGCGGGTGTATTGCTTTGCGACCCCTCCATATACACCCAGATCCTTGAATCATTCCGTTGGAAGCTGCCTAATGAGAGAGTAGAAGATTCATTCCACCCACCTCCCCTGGTGGCGGTTGATGACACATCGCATGCTTTTCGCGTGCTCATTGCCAGCAGTCGCGGTCACCTTCCATATCTTAATTCCCGTGGCTCGGTAATGAGTATGCAGTGAGGATAAAATACAATAGTAGTCACTATTGCTAAAAACATTACCAATGTTTTAGAGTTAAAAACCAATGAAGAATTTTGTTTCCTAGTTGGTCATCACTTCTGCTTTGGGTTTCGACACATACCTGGTGATGCGTCATGGTGCTCGAGAGGTTAGCAACCAGGGTACTGACCTGGACATATCTGCCCTGGRGTCAATACCTGGTACACATCTTGGATGTTACTTCTGTAACGATGTCGTTGCTCCTGGAAATGTAAGTTGTGGATTCTCTCCATTTTTTTCTGACTAAGGCGTAAGTAAGGCTGGTCCACTGATAGCAAAGATACCACCATGTGTGCAGTCTTGGGTACTCTCTAAGAGGTTTAGCCTATGCTTTGAATAGTCCAAAAACAGAATGTTGGTAGAAAAAGGGAAGGAGGGTTGGAAAGGTGTTAAGTGCGCAACGCCAGCCACGTTCAACATTCCTTCGATGAAAGGTCAACCAAAGACGACATTGACTCGATGACGTTTTGTGACCGCCCCTGTTAAGTGACTGTCCTCATTGACGCTGCGTAACCACCCTTATTGTCATTATATGACTACACTCGCTGACAATGCGTTACGAAGCTCGTCGTTGTTTTAAAATCCTTCTTGTCATTGTGTGACCACTCTAGTTAACGTTATGTGACCATCCCCACTGACCGACCTGTCTTGTTCTTTATAGTCTATGCGTGACCGCACGTTAGATCAGCAGTGTACTGTAAGCAGGCCTGGTATATCTTATGTCGCTGGTGCACTGGCTGCAGAGCTTATGGTATCTGTTCTGCAACACCCAAAAGGGTAAGCCTTAGAATTGTATAGCTTCCAGTGTGGTGTTTGTGATACAGGCTGATAGGATTGTAGCTGCTGCTGTTTGTTTTGTTGCGCTGTTCGTTTTTTTGTAGATGATGATGATGGTAATGATGTATGATGATGATACATGATGATGATGATACATGATGATCATTTTGGATTATCGCTGGAGGTGATTATCGTGTGATAGT